CTTTAGAGAAGAGAAGGAGACAGGGATGGGAGGGGCAGGCAGGGGAGAGTAAGAGGTAGGAGGAGGAAACAAAAGAACACTTAGCCCTGGTCTAAAGCCCCAGATCTTCCGGAGCTAAGGCGAAGCCTGATCAGACGTATCACACAAAATGCCCTGTCTTTGCAAAGATTACATAAAATCTGCCCTGCTGTCCATGAGCATCGATGTTTAAAGTCCTGAATACTGGTTATGAAGAGGTTTAAGTCTACTTCTGAGCCCTATTTACATAGCTAATCATCCATGTATGCATGTACTCATTCATTCATTCATTCATTCAATGAGGGGAGTGTTTGCTGTGAGCCTGGCACTATGGACAGAAAAGACCACAAACCATAAAATGTGGGCCCCAGTCAAATAAAAGCAAAAGTAAAAACTGATAAGAGCTATGAAGGGGGGTTTAAATGTATGTTATAAACTCCACTGCGGGGGTGGGAAGCGACGCTCCAAGGAAGTGGCGTCTGAGCTGGGCTGAGCAGGAAGAGTGTCCAAACAGAACAGTTACACTAAAGCCTCAAAGTGGAAGACATGAGGAGAGGGCCCAGTGCGAGGTCTGAGAGGTAGGCAGGGGCCAGATCATGTAGGCGGAATGGGCTGCGGTTAAGGGGGAGATGGGAAGTCCTTGAAAAGTGAGACAGGGGAGTGACATGATCTAATGCAAGATCACTGGCTGCTGGTGACTGAAGGAAGGCTGAATGAAGCCAGCTTTCCTGTAGGACAGGTGCTGGCAAACTTTTTCCGTAAAGGGCCAAGTATTTTAGGCATTGTGGGCCAAGAGGAAAAATCATGGATTTTATGTAAGTACTACAAAACAACACCCAAACCCCAAATTTTCATAAAAGTTGTACTGATAAAATTCAAAATATACTACTACTATGACTGAAGTATAATTTAAAAAATGCAGGTCGACTAGTAGCAAAAATAGAATTTGGGAGAGATAATAAGGTATTTAATCGGTGTTCTGTCATTACCATAAAATTAGCCACAGACAATATGTAAATGAATGAGCATGGCTGAAGTCCAGTAAAACTTTATTTATGAACTGAAATTTGAACTTCATATAATTTTCATATGTCATAAAACATTACTTTTCTTTGTGGCTTTTTCAACTACTTAACAATGTAAAAACCACTGTTAGTCTGCAGGCTGCACAGAAACTGGACTACGGCTCCCTTCTGGTCTGCCGATCTCAAGAAGGTCCCATGTTCGGGACGTGTCCAGTTGCTTGCATATAAGTACATTAATTTTGGGCAGATTACTACAGGGTGATGCTAGGTATTCCTTGTTGCCCCCCAGCAAAAGGCTTATGATATAAGGTCCTTCTATTAGAGATAGATTTGATCCATTATTATTATTATTATTATTTCTCACCCAAGGGCCTTTTTTTCTTTGCTTTGAGAGAGAGAGAGAGAGAGGGAGGGAGGGAGAGAGAGAGACATCAATGTAAGAGAGAAACATTGATAGATCGCCTCCTGAACACACGCCAACTAGGAAGTGGACCCACAACCTCAGCATGTACCCTCACTGGAAATCGAACCCATAACCTTTCGGTTCATAGGACGACACTCCAGCCAACAGAACCACATGGACAAGGGCAGCTTGATCCATTTTAAAGCAACATTTTCTCTTTGTAATTAGAAGTAACTGTGGGTGATACTTGGAATTCTGTGAACATACTATTCCCCTAAAACTTCTCATTAGGTGGTTCTAGCTTTTACAGATGACCCTTGCTTGAGTTAATCATTATATTGGAAGTTGCAAAATTATTTTGATATGATTTTTAATGTTTGCCTAGTATACCATTTGTGGATTACATAATCATTTAGTTATTGAATTGCCTGGTATTAAAAATTTAGATTTTCTTTTCTTTCTTTTTTTGTTCGCTATTACAAAGTAATGTTCTTATTAATATCTTATGGCTAACTATTTACATACATTTATAATTAGTTACTTAAGGAAAATTACTTAAGTGAAACTGGGTCATAGAGCGTACCCAATTTTTAAAGGGATTTGATCTATGTTAACAAATTTTGTTTTAGGGAATTAGACCAATTTTTGCTCCCATTAAGGGTGCTTGGTTCCTAACACTCCAGCAAACATTTAAAAAGTACTGTCACCAAACTAATAGATGAAAATGATTTCTCATTATTTTAACTCATGTTTATTCAATGGTGGTGAGGTTGAAACATTTGTATCTCTTCCACCCTTTCATATCCTGTGCCTCATTTTCTATTCATCCTTTCCCTATTAATCTGTAAGAGCTCTTCATGCAGTAAGGATGCTAATTCTTTGCCTTAAATATGCACTGTAAATATTTTTCCAAAGTTGTAGAAAAAAATATTTTTTAAAATATTAAAATTTACAAGGCTATATTAAAAAAACTTTATTTATTTATCTTTAGAAGGGAATGGAAGGAGAGAGGGAGAGAAATATCAATATATGGTTGCCTCTCCTGCATCCCCTGCTGGGAACTGGCCTGCAACCCAGGCATGTACCCTGACTGGGAATCAAACCTCCATCCTTTGGTTCATAGACCCATGCTCAATCCACTGAGCTATACCAGCCAGGGCTAGAAGGCTATTTTTATCCTAAATTGATCTGTTTCTCTATGAGAAAGATGCCCCCCCCCCAAAAAAAAAAGGCCCTGGCTGGTGTAGCTTAGTGGATTAAGCATGGGCCTGTGAAGCAAAGGGTCACTGGTTCAGTTCCCAGTCAGGGCACATGTCTGGGTTGCAGGCCAGTCCCCAGTAGGGGACACATGGGAGGCAACCACACATTGGGGTTTCTCTCCCTCTCTTTCTACTTCCCTTCTCCTCTCTCTAAAAATAACTAAATAAATAAAATATTTTTTAAAAAGGGATGGGGAGGGAATGCAAAAAATTAACAAATATAGAATTATTTATATTTACTTAAGCATCTTTCAAGAAAATTCCCTAATGAAACAAAAAATTTTATCAGAACTAAAAATTCTGTTCTGATCTATTTGGTTTATTACATTATTATATAGCCAATTTCACTGTGTTTTAAATCCATCATTCCATGTCTACTGTTCATAATCAGCACAATTACAAATGTAATTTTTAATTACCGCTATGGCATAATGCATTTTTTAATTAACAACATCACATAACACATGTAATTTAGTGCTCATAAACCACTTAAGATCTAATTTTTTCACCAGAATGCTGTATTTTGCTGGGTATAAAGTACTCCCTGTATAATGTCCACCCATGTTTTTGTGCGCATTATACAAAGGATTATTCCACCCATTATTCCACCCGTGGTGTGTAACCATTATGCCCATGTATAATGTGAATCCTTATTTTTGTCTAAAAAATTTGGGCAATAAAGTGCGCATTATACACGGCAAAATACGGTAAATGGCACTGCTGTGCACATCCTTGGAAAAATTCCTTTTGGTTCCTTTAGAGTTAATTATTAAGTCAGTCTCAAAACTAAAATTATTGGATTACCAGGGGTAAAAGTATGATACACTCAGGTCCATTGTTTTCTGCCAGAGAACACTCCGGAAAGACTCATTCAGCACTGAGTCCCAGGTATTTGTGTTGCCAGCAATGTTTTAAAAAAGGGCTTATTTCCTCAAATCCCCAATAATACAGGTTTTGATAACTTTACTTATTCTGGCTAAGTGTATGGGTGTATCGTGGTGTTTGAAGCAACTGCAAGTTGCACTTCTTGGTGCTAGCAAGTCCGTGTAAGACCCATATGACACTGTCACGTACATTTACTTATAAACTGTCTACCTCCTTTATCCCTCCTGGGGTCAAGTTCAGCAGCAGAACTTCAATACTCTTCAATACTTACTCCTACTCTCTCTATGCACTGGTCAGAGAGCTTTTGGGTGTAATTCAACTTATGTGCTTTCACTCCACCCTCTTCAAGCGCCAGGACCAAGTTTCAGGCAGGTCTAGGTCCCTGGCACTTCAGATACCATCTGCATGCAAAGGTGACGTCACAGGGGTGACAGCCCACGCATACGTGCACTCTCACCATGGCCCGTGGCCGTGTGCTGGGGCCTCAGGCCCTCCCTCCATAACCAGTCCTCCCCAGGGTCATGTCACCGGCACACTTGAGGAGAGGTGTGCACAGCGGGGGAGGATGGCAGGTGAGGCTCAATTCCCGGGCTCGGCTGACTTGGCTCCTCTCACCCCTGTCAGCCCTGCCTCCACGGGCGTGTATCGCCGTGACAGCCGAATCTTTCATCTTCCACTGAAAACAGGAGACCTCTCTATCTGACTCAAAACATCCTGCAATGCACAGAATAGCCTCACACAACAGAAATGATCTGGCCCCCCACATCAGCGGTGCCCAGATTGAGAATTCCTGTTGGGAAAGCAAACAACCACCCTCTCTGTGCCCCTCCTTCTAAGCGCAAACCCAACCATTAATCTGAGAGCACCCGGCAACACGAACTGAAATGGACCGAATTCAATCTGCTGCAGATAGAGACATTTCATTTAGAGATTTATATTTCATTGTGGCGTTTCGTATGACACTTCTCTGACTGGGGCCCAGCACTGGGCAGCCGAAGCCCAAGCTATCGTTACCACCATCCAATTACACGTTGGATCTTGACTTTGCAGCACGCCTCATTGGCTGTGCACTTCAGCTCGGCCTCTCCCGGAGGTTCCCAGGGAGATGGAAGAGTTGATTAGGGAGACTTGGGAAGTCTGTCTCCAGCAGCAGCAATTAGAAGAGGAATTATGTAGCCGTCTGTAGACGACACTGAGGTTGAGGGTGGAGGCTGCCGAGGAAGAGGGAGAGAGATAACTGGCCGGACTCTCAGAACCAGACCCTGGTGTTGCCACAGCCAACAGCCTAAGATGCCACCAGCCACAGGGGAGCTAGGTGGTGGCTGCTTCTGAACATTTAAAACCTCCTGCTCAAGTGTATTCGAAGTAGCTTCCGCTGGACAGTAAAGGAGACAGGAAAAAGGGCCTTACCGGGGGTGCTGATGGTGGGGGAGGGGGAGGAGCCCCCAGAGGTGGAGGAGGTGGAGGCAGAGGAGGAGGTGGTGGCGGCGGTGGCACCGGCATGTGTCACTGTGCTGGTGTCTCTTGCTTGTGAATGGTCCCCAGAGAATGGTGTTGGCTCTGAAAAGGAGAAGAGATGGTTTTGAACAGGGATGTTTTTGCTCACGCACAGGTAACACATGGCATGCAGACACATGGATATTATAGTTTCATTCATTTGTTCCTTCCTTCCTTCATTTGTTCATTTTTTCTTTCATTCATTCAATGAATACCAAGTGTCCACTGTGAGGCAGACAGGGTGCCAAGTGCTGGAGACTGAAAGAGCAGCCAGATTCTGGAGAGAGTTGGGTGATGAAACTGATGAAATGCATTTGTTTATGTATCAAAATTAATAGAATATATAAATAGCAATACCTCACTCTGTGATTTTTCCAGATAACTGATTTCTACCTCCTCAGCATTAAACTTTTTGTTTTATCATTTCTGATGCAATTTAAAACATATATGGTGCATACTCTGCTTTTCCTAACCAGAGCAAATGGAAGGGAACCTTCTCTGTGTGTCACAGACTCCATGTTGCTCGAGATGCCAGCCCCGAGCAAGCAAGGCTGACAAAGGTCATCGGTCATTCCCACTTTGCACCTTCAGCTCTTACTTTTCTTGCTGTCTCTCTGTGGTTCCGAGAGAATCATCAGGGTGGGGCATGACACTTCTCTGCCAAGGCTTCCTATCCGGTTTGCTGCTGGGCACCATTCTGCACAGACGGTTCTGTTTCGAATAGTTGATATTGTGGGACACCTGAGTTCCAAGTGAATGTGGCATGTGTCTGCATGGTGTGTGTGTGTGCATGTGTGTCTTAGAATCCATACCAAGCCACACTGCAAAGGCTTAAAACCCACCCTGGAGGCAAAGCCCATGGTTTACAAGAAAAAGGAAAACCATATGAGAATCTGAAAACACAGTCTAGGCAGGAACAGAAAAGACGTTGGACTTAGGCAGCGGTGAATCTGTGTTTCTGCCATCTCGACAGTGACTGTTAGGTCAGAACGAGGCCTGTGCCTGCTTCTTCAACTTTAAAACCCTCTGGAGCCCTGGCTGGTGTAGCTCAGTGGATTGAGCTCGGGCCTGGGAACCAAGCAACCACGGTTCAATTCCTAGTCAGGGCACATTCCTGGGTTGCAAGCCAATTCCCAGCAGGGGACACACAAGAGGCAACCATACACTGATATTTCTCTCCCTCTCTCCTTCCTTTCCCCTCTAAAGATAAATAAATAAAATCTTAAAAAATAATAAAATAAAACCCTCTGGCATTTGTATTATTCCATGTTAATATTTACATCTCCTAGAAGCAAAAAGCAATTATGTAACGTGGTACTTTATACCAAACGGAGTGTACTGTTTGGCTTATTTAATGCATGCTAGCTCTTGTTGGCCCATATGTGACAGGCTAATTTCATTAATTTCCACAGCAGTCATCTAAGATCAGTACGTCCTTGTTTGCAGCAGGGTTAAGAATCCCCTACACCTGGCTGGTGAAGCTCAGTAGATAGAGCACGGGCCCGGGAACCAAAGGATTGAGGTTTGATTCCCAGTCAGGGCACATGCCTGGGTTGCAGTCCAGTTCCCAGTGGGGGATGCATGAGAGGCAACCATAGACTGATACTTCTCTCCCTCTCGCCTTCCCTTCCCCTCTAAAGGTAAATAAATAAAATCTAAAAAAAAAAAATCCCCTACAATTGTACAAAAGTTTTAATGGCATAAAATATACGTATAAGTTCACCTTTTGGTGGAAAGAGTCCTTGATAGTTTTCCCAAGAGTCCCCTAGAGGTACATGAGCTGATCGTTGTAAAAGACCATAATTTTCTTAGAAACTAACCCTCAAAAATTACCAAATCTCATAATTACAGTACCATTGCCCCTTCCCTTGACAGTAAACCAAGAACAGAAAGACTGAGAAAATAATAATGCTCATCAGAGTCCACAGTGTAAAACCACAGTACATTTGGGCAGAGATGCGGGAGGTGGTACAAGAGATGCTTCTTCCCGGTCATGTCAGTGGTGTTCCGTTACATAGTCTAACACACTCAGTAACGCAGGTCAGACAAAGCTGGCATCCTACTGGCTGAAGGATAAAGCAAGTTGGAGGTGAGCCCACAATTTAGTTGAAACAAATATAAACGATCAGTTAATTATTTTTTAATAATTTATTTCATAGCAGGTGCTGGTTGATCCTTAATTCAGTAGCAAAAATAATTACAGTCAACAATTTATAGTAAGGATTAAAGGGTTGGCTGAAGTATTAATAGAATGAGAGAAAATATGTATGGCGGTCTCCTTACATTACATAAGGATTTCATCTTTTATCCAAGACAGATGAGAGGAGGCAGACCTGCTTTCCTTGGGGGTGAACTGGAAGGGATTAAAAGAGTAGCTTGAAAAACTTAAATGTTTCTTACTTAGGGGTTTCCCTATGTATCAAAAGAAAACAGTGATCACAGAGTCCTGGTTGGCTGGCTCAGCTGTTTGGAGCATTGTCCTGTACACAAAAAGGTCAAGGGGTCAATCCTCGGTCAGGACACATGCCTATGTTGTGGGTTCGAGCCCCATTTGGGGCTCATACATGCGGCAACCGATGGATGTTTTTCTCTCTCACCCTTCCTCTCTATCTAAATTTAATAAACATATCCTTGAGTGAGGATTTTAAAACATGACCATAGGAAGTAACCTTATGGAGGACTGTGGCAGAGGTATTCATATAACCCCCCAGCACACAGTCAGGTAATATCTCCCAGCCTCCTTTGCAGTTAGTTGGGGTCATGTGACTGACTCTGGCCAATGGAAAGAAGGCAGAAGTGGTGAGTTCCACTTGTAGCCTGGCCCATACAGACCGACGGTGACAGACTTCTGTCTCTTCCCCCATCCACTGGCTGGGCACAAAGGTCCTAGGAGTGGGCAGAGCCAGAGGATGTCAGAGTCTGGGCTCCTGACTCACTGTTTTAAGGCCGTCTGCCAAACATTGGACTAGACTTTAAATACCTAAAAAGTGAAGTTCTACTGTGTTAAGCTACAAACGGTTTGGAGTTAATTTGTTACAGCCACATCCTTTTAACCTACCTGATGCAGGAACTAAAGAGAATACAGCCAATGTCATCATTTGAGGTAGCTATGTTTTATAATGTGGCTACGAACACTGAGTTAGGAGACCCTGAACCATTGCTCCTAGGAGATATACAGCCTTAGGTTCCCGTGAACATCTGGTTATGAGATTGTTGTCACCCCATTAATATATATTCTTGTTTTATGTGTGTTTTTGCTTAAAGACACCTTATTCATAGATATTGTTGATACATTAACATCGAACCCAGGCCAACAGTACTATACCTCGAGATGAAATGGGACTTATCTAATTATGCACATCTTCTCCATCAAGAACATCATAGCCTTTTTGCGCTCAAGAACACCAGCCCGAACTTGAATGTGACACTCGGAGACAGTGCAATCACCAACAATAAGCACAGCAGGTTGGAAAGCGTGGTGCTAAACCGAAGGAGTGAAGGGCACTCGTGTCCGTACAGCCCGGGAGCCGAAACAAGGAGGCAGAGCGTCGCTTTGCGGGGCCCCAGCAGGGGACGTCTGTGCTGGGCCACTCACGTCTCTCCTCATTCTGTACATGTCTTTGAATGGCCACGACAGTGCCCTCAAGTAGTGACTTTGGGTTACAAGTACAGTTCAGCGAGGGGGTGACTAGGGAACTGTGGAGTCCGTAAGTAAGGAGGACTGGCTGTAATTTTTGAACCCCACCCCGTGCTCGGCACTGCATCAGGTGCTTCCAGTCCATGGTTTTAGTTAACCCTGTGGACAGCTCCGTGGCAGACACTGACCTGTGTCAGATCTCCAACTTCTGTCTCACAGAGGTTATGCAGATTCTATGAAATTTCGTGAAGACTACCAGCCCGGGCCTTTCGGATCCCAAACCTCATTTCTTTGTTTTACTGACTCTCTGCTTCCATTTTGCAAAGATTTAAAGACATTTCGGGGACCCTCCAGTGGAAGGGACCTCATCCAGACAAGGACAGTTCTGCCACTTGCTCCCCCTGTGCTTCATTAGCACCCTTGCTCCCTGCCTAGTTTATCCTCAGAAACCTGACATGATTAGGTACCACTCGGCTTCTGTCTTGCTGAAATCACAGGAATGATTTTTCAAACTCTAAGATTAAAGGATATTTTTATATGCTGTACTTGATGTCTGTGAAGGGTTCTTCCTGACAAGGATAACAATTAAGCAGTTGCTGAGAGAAGAATTTGTTAAAACCTGACAGTTAAGTAGAGTGCAGAGCTCCAGGAAGTCACAGGCTGTACCCAGGAGCTCTCTGATGCTTTGTGCTTTCCTGATACATGGAAAAATGTTATTTTGCTCTGTAATGTATGAAAAAAAGGACAAAAAAAACCACTCTCAAAGGCTTTCATACTGTCTCCTAATTCATGAAATAACTCTGAAGATCAGCGTGGAGATGCGGGTTAGATATTCTTGCACCGTTAGAGGTGGCAAGGGGAACAGAATTAATACTGCTTCTATGACATCCCAGAAACAGGACAGCACCAGACAGACCTGGGTTCTCCTTATGCCTCTGCTTTTTCCCAGCTGTGTGGCCTTGGACAAGGCAAAGTGTACCTCGGTGGGTCTCCTTTCTTTATTTGCAAAACAGCTATAACTCTTAATGCTTAGCTTGTTATCAGGTTTAACACCAAGAGTGTCTATGGAGAAGGGAAATCAGGTCCTGACACGCAGCAGACACTTAGCTGGGAAGCTGTATTTATCATCACCCTCCCCCGCCCCCAGGCCCACCAATACCTCTGATACAAAGTGGCATAAGATAAGTGCTAGGGAATGTTGGCATATACACTCGGACACCAGGCAGTGAGGAACAACAGTGAGGTGTTTGGTAGAAGCTGTTGCGTTCCCCAGCAGGTAAGACGGTGGCTCCAGCAGTCCGTCTTAGTTGGAAGCAGCAGCGTGTGTGCAGAGACGAAGCCGTGGAACAAGGCCTGCAGCATTGTGTGTACGGGAGTGAGGGGATGTGGCTGGAATCACCCAGGGGCTTCAGTGACGTGGAACTCC